CTGATTCAGGTGCCATTACTGGCATCAACAAGGATGTATAGCTGTAGCAGCTGATATTGTTGGGGCAACTGAATGGTCCCTGAATGGGCTTATAAAACCATTCAGTTATACTGTGGCTTAATCTGACCTCAGTATTATCAGAACAAAGAATGAAATAATGAGATGAGATCTTCCAGGCTCCTTATGTCTTGTAAAGAACAAACATGGGATTAACTTGAGGATCTACAGTATAGTTTCTCACCAGATTTTTGCTGACGTACTCTGATGACATATAAGATAGTAGCGTAGCACTTGTGTAAGCAATTCAAACAAAGTTTTATGACGATGCTATTGCTTAACGAGGTTAGTTTTCAGCTCTGAGGTTGCTTTCCAGATAAGGAGTTTGTTCAACTCTTATCTCAGCAGCAGAACGTATGAAGTGGGAACAGGTGCCAATTCTGAAATAGTTTCAGAGTGAGACTCTCCGCTGCAGTTTGTCCCCCTTGTGTTGCTCTGGTCATGCTGCAGGTCTGCCCTGGCTGCATTTGGAGAGCTGAGAATTCCCCTTGAGGGATTTCCATTGTCAGAGCTTTGGAGCTGCAACCAGGCACAGAACTGGCTCTGGCTGGAGTGCAGCTGAGTTTTGCCAATTCTCGAGGATGGAGGTCTTGCCAGGTGGCATGAGCTAGGGCTGCAGCCTCTGCAAGCCTGCACAGAGGCTGAGCTGTGCTTATGCAGGACAGAAGATGGCGAAGCCATAGCCAGCTTCCTTGCAGTCTCCCACTTCTCCCTGTCCAAGGGAACTGCAGTGCAGGACGGTGTGACTCGCTTTGTTTTAAAAGATTATTCTGCACTGAATTTTGAATATATACAGGGAAACTGCTTCAAAGCCAAAGCTCATTAGGAAGGTTTCAGTGAGATTAAAACAATCCAGCATTGATCTTCTGTTTAAAATGTCTTTCATATTTCAGTCTGGGAGCTTTTCGAAGGCATTTTGGAAAAACTGAATTTGATTCCAGACTGATTCATAGATTTCTCCGTAATTAGCTGAATAGCAGTTCCATTTTTGAGAAAGTACTTCCTGAAGCACCCTGAATTTTGATGTCTGTTAAAACCTTTTAGTGTTGGGATGTATGTCAGCGTTCTTTTTCTCACTAAAGCACTGCATTTTTCTAAAAAGAGGCTCTCATTGTTTTGGCCAAATTCAAACCAAACTGCAAGATTTGTAGGACGGTCAAATATTTTTGTGGATAAGCTTTATGTGAGCTCACACTAAACCTGACTATGGCTTTCTGGAGGCCGTTGGAGCAGAATTAAGCAAAGGATCAGATCGAAGGGAAGTAACATCTCCAAGAGCAAGTGCTAACAAAAGTTTGGATGATAGGTGAGGTGTTACGTTTCAGAGTTTACACAAGTCTCTAGCTATTAAACTTACAGAATCAGAGAAAATGGAGATGGAAGAGTTGAAGAGAGCAGTTTAGTTGATCTTGTTCCATCCCCAGAGCTTATCAACTATGTATGTCACTCCTGACAGACGTTAGACTACCATGCCATACAACCCTGCAGTGAGAGAGCTGCCGTAACTGCAATCCAACCTGTTGTTACACGTCATTAATCGCAATGTGTCAGTCTTTCCAATGTGCGGCATCTCCCTCCCCTGTTTACTTTTAAGCACATATATTTTTGCTGTTTTGAATATAGTACCAGCGTGTAGACTCATGGCAAGTATTTATGGTTTTGGTATCACACTTTTCTGTAGTCTTTCCTTTTTTTAACTGTTTCTCCAGTCTTCGTGTCTTCTTTGTTTGTTTGTTTGTTTGTTTGTTTTTTTCCTTCCTCCTAAGTCATGTTATGGGCTTTCTAATAACTTATTTTATTATTATTTTTTTTTTTCTGGACTTCTCCACCTTACCTGTCTTTTTGAGCTATCTTGTGCTATCCTGAACAGAGTACATTGGCTGAGACCTTATCAGCAACAAACAGAGTGTAAGGATTAGCTTTCAGGTCTTAAATACGATACTCTTGTTAATGTACAGCTTTCTTTTACAACAGCGTGATGTGGTTAACTGTGGCTCAGCTTAGATATTTTTTCTGCAGAATGGATTGCAATCAAACATTAGAAAGACACTTTTGTGGGAGACACTTTCCCCTGCATGGTTTGTAGTCTGCTTAAGTGGAAATGCTTTCTGGACATTCACAGAGACAGGATGCTGAATTAGACTAGGCACCCACATGAAACACAGACAAGCAGAGACACAGATAAAGACTATGTGATTTTTATAGCTGGTTTTATCATGAAATGTCCTGATCTGCAAAAGGTTTGGCTGGGTGCTGTGAAAACCATGCTTAGAGAGAGCAGAGAGATGTGAATGATGCTCACCTGCCTCAGGAATAACTTACTGCATCTGTGGGTTGTGGCATCAGTCCCTGGCTTCCCTTCCTTTTTGAAGAGTCCTCTCTTGTCAGGTGTGAACCGTACTTGGGGATGGAAATTCCATCTATGCAGCTCACAGCCTTGTCTATCTCGAAGAATTACTTTTTATTATTGAAGAAAAATTGCAGTGTAATATATAAATGTGATATTTTGGTTTAACGGCGTGTCACCTGGCAACATTTAAGAACCTCACTGCAGTGTCTATGGTTCGTTGGTATAATGGCAACGTGTATAGTAGAAAAAAATGGTTGCACTTTAAAATGTATTGGTAAAAAACATAAAATAGTAGAATATTGTAAGAAGTTCTATCAAGTGAGAAAGTCACTTTAAAATAGGGCAGATTTTTCTTATTTCCTGAAAACTTAAATAAATTAGGAGAAGAGATTCCTTTTACTCAGATCTGTAGGATGTACTAGATAATCTGATTTCTTAAAAAATATATATTTTATAGCTCTTTAGTTTATTTCTTTTGAAACTGATGATTTTACCTGCTATATTATCAGGCAATGAAAAAAAGCGGAACAAGTTCCTTGTTTCCCTAATCATTTGCTTTCCTAGTGCAGTGCTCATAGGCACCCCTTTGTGCTAGTTTTTCCACGAAAACTTAACCTCTGGTTTTGGATTCATTTAGCAACAGGAGAGCTTTATCCTGTGGGAACTCTGCATCTTTTTGACAGCTCTCTAAAATAGACCAACTGATCTTTGGAGCTCTTTTTATTTTGTAAATTTTCTTCTCTGTCTTACGTATGAGAGAAGATAGGTTTGCAAGAAGAAAATAGATCTGATGAGACCAGCTGACGTATAATTGAGGAAAAAAAAAATGGAACAAGCCGGGAGTCCCTCCATTAGCTCTGGCAAGGAGCAGCCTAAGCGCTTGCCAACATCCAAGTACTATTTCATCTTTACGTGCACAAAACTATATCTATTGGCATTAATACCTGTTGCTGTAAATTTATGTTTCTTCCTGTGAAAGCCTGAAGTAGAAATGCTGGCAGCTGAAATCCTGCAGTCAGTGCATCCTGCAGGCTCCAGCCCGCGGCTGAGTTGCATTGGCAAGAGAAGCGCTTGGAGTGACTGAATGAACTGAAAGATGAAATGCGACTTGTTTTCCCCCCGAAGAACTGAAATACATTATTCCAGCAGGGTCGCCTGGATTTTTTGTAAGGTTAAAAGAGGAATATTCTGTGCAAAGTTAATAAATCCCCAAAGCAAATATCTGAACGATTAACTGTTAACAGAGGAAGGGGAAAGCAAGAGTGCGGTTTGAGAGGTGTCTGACTGCAAGTTCACTCATTTAAGTTCCCACACTTTGCTGGTGGAGCTGTCCAAGTCACGCTGAAACAGCAAAGCCGAACGTCCCTTTAGGTGCTACCCGCTGTTTGCAAACGCAGCCTCGGAAAAGCCAGCTAAAAGGGATGCTCGTTGCGAGCCGCAGACGTGCCATTTACAACGAAATTTCCAGCTGGGCGGGCGGGGGGCAGGAGGAGGCTTCGCCGGGGGGTCGTGCGAGGGGTGCCCGGCGAGGGAGCGCGGGGAAGCCGCAGGGGGCGAAGCGCCGGGAGCGGGCTGGGCACGGGGCTCTGCGGGCCGGGGCGCCCAGAGGATGCTGCGAACGGCAAAGGAGAAGCCCCCAGCGGGTGCCCGGCGCAGCGACTCCGCGCTACTCCTTAAACTTCGAAGCCAAAAAAACCTTACAGCGCCACGGCACCTGCTCCGCGGCTCGCCAGGCGCTACCCGCGCCCCCGGCTCCTCTAACACCCCCCCCCGGGGGCCCGCACCCGGCTGCCAAAGCCGAGGCACGGTGCGCGGGGTCCCGGGCGGCTACCTGCAGCCCCCCCCTGCTCCTCCCGGCCCCCTCGGCAAACATCCTGCCGGCAGGTGCAGCCCCGCCGCGCCCTGACAAAGGGCCCTCGGCGGGTGATGCATGGGGCGGCGGGCAGCTGCCCGGTAATCCGCTACCGCCGGCCCCCGCCCCGAGTGCCTTCCGTGCACCTGCCCGGGAGAGGCGCCTTACTGCGGTGGCCGTGGTGATGAGGATGATGATGGGATGTGGTGGTGAGGATGATGGTGGTGGTGAGGATGATGGTGGTGGTGGTGAGGATGATGGTGGTGGTGAGGATGATGGTGGTGGTGAGGATGATGGTGAGGATGCTGATGGTAGTGAGGATGCTGATGGTGGTGAGGATGCTGATGGTGGTGAGGATGCTGATGATGCCGATGGTGGTGCTGAGGATGATGCTGATGGTGGTGCTGAGGATTTCCTCGAGGGGCGGCTGCCCAGGGCCCCTCGCTCCGCGGAGCAGCCCCGGGCTGCGCCCCCTCCCCGCCGGGGACGGCCCCTCTCGTCCTTGCCCTGCGCCCCTACCCCGGCTTCGCGCCCCGGCCGCCCCCTCCCTCCCGAACGCAGCCGTCGGGGCTCCGGGGGAGCGGCGGGGATGGGCCCGTGAATGACCCCCCCTCACACACACACACACACACACACTCCGGCCCCGCCGCCGGCGGATTTTTGTGAATGGGACGGTCACGGAGCGGGGCATGACGTCAGCGCCGGGCCGGGCGGCGGGGGCGGCGATTGGTTGGCGGGGCCCCGCGGGCGCCCACGCAGGCTGCCGCGGCGGCGGGGATAAAGGGCGGCGGGCGGGCAGCGCGCGGCACCGCGGCTCGGCGGCGCCACCGGCATCTGCTCCGCATCGCCCCGCACCGCACCGCCGGTAAGCACCGCGCCCTGCCCTGCCCGCTGCGCTGCTGCAGCATCTCCCGCAGCGCCGTCCTCCGGGGGGCTCCCCCGCGTCCCGTCTCCGCGCCGGGGTGCGGAGCTTTGCGGAGGTGCGGGTCCTGAGGGGTTTGTGTGTATGCAGGGGGGAGGACTTGGCCCTCGGGCTCCCTGTCGCGGGGCAGCACCTGTGCGGCAACCCGCGTCGAGAACCTGGAGCCAAGAAAAGCGAAGCTTTTTTGGGGGGGAGTCGCGGGGGTGCTCATCCGAGCCGAAGAAGCCGGTGCTTTGAGGAGCAGAGGTGTATCTCAGAGCAAACCGGTGAAAATTTCTTCTGCGGGCTTTGTTCTCGTGACTGCTTTTACAGAACTTACTCTTTTTCTGATTTCAGAATGCTTATTGAAATGAGCTTAGCCTGAGCTGGGATATTACCCTGCTAACTGCCAAGTAGCGAGCAGTTTTGGAGAAAGCGCTAGCAGTAGTACTATCAAAATGCTATACGCTAAGCATTTTTCTCTCTTTCTCCCTCTCTCTTCCCCCAACTCTTTTCCTGTGACTGCCTGTTTGTGATGGACACACTGAATATGACATTGTATGCAGTAGTTAGTTAGAGGACTGTGTGTTCAGCCAGTTTAAGAGAGAGTCTACATTAAGTTGAATGCTGCTGTACAGAAGTTCAACCCCAAAAAGCTGCATTTCTATCCCCCGTAATAGTGCTAAGTTATTTTAAAATTCTGAGAAAAGCAAAGCAAAATGGGAATGATCAACAGCAGTGAAAAGGTAATACTGAAAAGAAATGCTGTTAGCGTTTGTGCTACTTGCAGCTAGGAAATGGTGACCTTATAGGATTGAGGGGATTGGAAAACAGCCATTGCTTGATGTACCTCTTTGTTGTAGAGAGGAAATCATGGTTATGCTGAAGATTTCATCTTTCCTTGCTGTTTATGCCTTGGTCGTGTGCCAGATGGATAGCTTCCAAGCAGCTCCAGTCAGGTAAGAAGCTGGTCCTGTTGCTGAGTGCTTGCTCTGAATGGTATGGAAATATTTAATCTCCTTTAGAGACCTAGGAGGAGAAAGGGCTACCAAAAGCTAGCTTCTTCTAATGCTATTTATGATACTGTCTCTTCTTAACTACGTATATAAACCACCTAATGCTGTGCATGAGCACAATTTACGTATTCACACCGGTGAAAGGCACTGTCAATGACACAGAGCAAGGCGTGACAAACTCTGCTCCCTGTGCATGGCTCTCTGTAGCAGACTGGGCTGTATTCATCCTGTTTTGCTTGCCTCTGCGTAGACCTGGCTTGGAGTCCATAACAGACAGAGTGACGCTCAGTGACTATGAAGCCCGGAGACTATTAAATGCACTGGTGAAAGAGTTCATACAGATGACAGCAGAAGAACTGGAGCAAGCCTCTGAGGGGAACAGGTAAGGACCGTGGTGCTGGGGCAGAAGAAGGGCACTTGAGCAGTGTTAGTGTTTGATACCAGCAAGAGCCATCTGAGCAGACCCTCCACAAGCCAAGTAATTTATTTTTTGGAGGGAGGATGGGGGGTGGGGTTATGGCTAGCTGTAGTCACCTATTTGGTAAAGGATAATGCAGAAACATCCTAACAATGGCATCAGGAGAATGGCTTCCACCTAGTTAACCTGCTTCTATCTGTCTCTTACGACTGAAAGTGGAGGGCGATTTGAGCTTGAATGAGGGGGTTATATTAAAATATGACAGCAAAAGGTACGTTTTCCTAGTGGGAATGTTAGAGGACATTCAATCACTCTTGGATTCTCTGTCGTGAAAGTGCATGCTGTTGTAAGGCATGGAAAGTCCCTGGCAGAGGGGAGGTGTTCCTCCTAATGCACGCAGCGCCACTCTCCTCCCCTAGAGCAAAGGCATGCAAGAACATTTGCGTTATCCTAACAGGATTTGTATTGCAAGCATGGTGATGTATGAGAGACTAAACAGCATGCTGAATACATGGAAACTAAAATCTTTTTGTCCCCTGACTGTGAGCATCTGAAAGGCTAATTAACTTGCTTTATCAACAAAATGAATTCATTGGAAAAAAATAGTGTTTTCCTTCTAACTGCATTTGTATGAACCTTCCTTGCATGGAATGTGATGTGGAGAGATTATTTTTATATCTTTTTTTTCTTTTGAGTTTCCTAACTATATATATTTGTCTAGGGAAGAAATGCATGACCATGCATGTTTGAGATTATTCTTCTTTTGGGCATGTTTTTTTTTCCCCCTGCAGCCTGGATAGACCTATTTCCAAACGCTGTGCCAGTCTGAGTACTTGTGTGCTGGGCAAACTGTCTCAAGAATTGCACAAATTGCAAACTTACCCTCGTACTGACGTCGGGGCTGGAACTCCTGGCAAGAAAAGAAATGTGCTGAGTGACCTGGAACATGAACGCTATGCAAACTATGGGGAACCCCTAGGAAACAACTAGACATGCTTATTTCTGCCCTTCTCCCTTTTTTTTAACCTGATGCATGTGGATCTAACTCTGATTGCTAACTTTGCTATGTTCTTTTGATTCTGTTTTTGACAGAGAATGTTTGAGATGGACCTTAATGTTAGGAAGACAGAACATAACACACATAACAAGCTAGGGGAAAACTAAATAAAAATGAACAGCACTGCATTGAGATTTCAAATGATTTTCTTAGATATTGATTTAAAAAAAAAGTCTAGACAGGGTTCTTCATTTCTGGCTACTAAATGTACGAGTAGACTCTTTCATGCCTGCCCATGCACTTGTTCAATAAACCTATTTTTCTATAAGGATTAGATCTGTTTGGTTTACTTGTTTTAGAATGTGAGACTTCTAGATAAGGCTAGAAATATTTTTACAAGTTCTATTCACATTCAAGAGAGGCAATGCAAGTAATTCTGGAATAACTTAGGAAGGTGAAGTGCAATGAGATAGAAATAGAAATTATACTCCTAAGATATTGCACATATGTAACCAAATTATGCATACAATCCTATTGGTAAAGATCCTGAGAAACAAAGGAATCAGGAAAGGCTCATACAGAGCTGTTCAAACTAGAATTGTAATGCTGTTTTAAACTGAATACTGAACGCTTCCAGGTAAGAATTTAATGTTCTTTTCTTTTTTCCATTTAACTTTATAATAGGTCTTCACACCAGTATACTTGAAACCCAAGTGTATTAAAAATATTTATATTACTTTAAGACAATATAGCGTGTATGGAATGTAAATTAAGAGATCAAGTTCTTTTTGCTTGTTTAGATATTGTAGCCTCTTTTAAAAAATGACTTTCTTTAGCTATTTTCTCACAGATGTTACATATCCTTCTTTCCAGTTTTCCTGTGCAGCACCACAGCTATCCTGTAATCAGAAACCTGTTCAAAAACACGGCACTGATGTTATAAAGAATATTAGTTGTTAGTGAACAATCCTGTAATGATTAAATGAGCAAAATCCCTCCTTCTCCAAGAAAAAGTCCTTGCTTTAGTAGAAGACTATTCCAAGTATGGACCATATGAAGGGCCATGAAGTCCTTTGTTGCAAAATTATTACTAGAAGAAATCCTGATGTCACTGTACTATTTGCATGGCAATGTGCTGTAACAGGCTGGAGTCTGATGGCAAGAAAGGTGTTTCCATATTCCAATTAGATATGTGGAAGTAGTATGCTCATGTGTGGTTCAGCTCTGAAAGAAAGGGTAGGAGCAAATGGTTGGCTGCTGTGCAGGTGAAGCCCTAGCAGCATCACTGGAAGGAGAAAAAAAATATCAAAAAAAAACCACTCCTGTTAGCCAGTGATGCTAGAATTTCATATCTTTTCTGGGTGTTACGGTGCTGACCTGAGAAGTTAGTGATCAACTTCTGCTACCATCCTTCAGCAGCACTGTAAACAAAACACAGATTGAAATTTTTGGAGGAAAGGGGAGATTGGTTAAATGCCACAGATCTGCACCTTATCAGCAGCTTTCTGCTAGCTGCGGTGACTTGCCAGAGGTAGGAAACAGCTCAGGCATCCCTAAAAGTCTGGAGTGGTCCAATTGCCTGAGAACATGGCTCAGCTACCTTCTGTAAACTGAGCCTGACACTTAGAAAAACATAAAGGTGCATCTTTTAGAGCTTGTTAGCAAAGCTCACTGAAGCTGTAAGTGCTTGCTGCTCAGCAAGCCTGCTTGCTTGTATAGAAAAATCTTTCCTAGGCATATGGCCTGTTACTGACATTCTGTTGCATGCAGAGTAGATACGTTGGGAACTAACATTTGTTTTCCTTTCAAAAAGCAGTGTAACAGCACAGAAGAGGGCATGCAACACAGCAACCTGCGTGACCCATCGTCTGGCAGACTTCCTGAGCAGGTCAGGAGGAGTGGGCAAGAACAACTTTGTCCCAACTAACGTGGGGTCTAAGGCTTTCGGCAGGCGAAGAAGAAGCATTCAAATATGAAGAGCTGAATGGTAATGTGAATATGGTAACTACATTGCACTAAATGGTCTTCAGTGCAGGCAACCCTCAGATAACTTGAGTTATCAGAACTCTAGGGTTCCTGGGGGAGTAACAGGTTTACAGGGAAAACCTGTTTTCTGGGGAAAATAGGACAAGTAATGGTATAAAAAGACATTACAAATATAAGCGTACCTTGTTTAAACTGTGAAGAAGAGCTTTTGTAAATGCTTTGCTTAGTTAATGTGTCGTGAAGCTAGTTATCTAAACACCACAGTTAGGTGGAAATGACTTATTGCCCCATTTTACCAGTAACATTTCATTATTGGCATATCAGTAATTCTGCGTTTGTTTCTTTCAGATTGACATGAAACTGAAAATCCAACTTTAATTTCTAATGAAAGGAGCTCTTCTCCGTAATTCAAGACAGCCAAAAAGAAGATTAATTTTGCATCCTAATATTGAAAATGTTTTATTTAATACAAATGAGAACACTTCTGTTATGTATAGTACAAGAGAATCTAGTTATTCAAGTTAAATTATTGTATATTCTTTTTATATGCAACTCTATTTCAAATAAAATGTGACAGCATCTATTATTTATTTATCTTCTAGTATATATGTGATTCTTGCTATTTATCCTGGCACTACTGCCGAAACTCGGGGATTATACCAAACTGCTGCCTGGCAAGGCATGTGTATAATATAGTGTGCTGTGCCTTGATGTAAAACACTGAAGTAACCTGACTGTACAGTATGTTTAAAAAAACAACCAACAACCAATCAACACTTAAATATTGTATAATTTGTGAATTTGCGCAAAATTAAAAAAAGTATTTTAGATACACTTGGATTGAGAAACTGATTTTTCATTTAAACACACTTACAGAAACATTTGGCGCTAGCCCAATGTCATTGGAAATCATCTGGCCCGGTGGTTTGCTACAGCCTTGTTAGCTATAAATGCTAGGTTTTGAGTCAAATGTTCAGAACAGAAAGATTAGCTGCTGTTTTATGTGTATTCATAACACAGGAACTCAGGAAGCCACCACTTAATGAGACTTGTACTTAAAAAAAAAAAAAATAAAAAAATAGAAAGAGGCCACAGTTCCACTTAATAAAACAATAGAGACAGAACTCACCATGTGTGGGTTAAGGCAAATTTTTATTTTTTATACAGGATGTAGCTTGGCTGAAATGGCCCAACGTGCTTTGTAGATTTTTGTCTAAGGTTGAAAAAGTGAATTAGAAAGAAAGAGGAAAAGGTGCTATGTAAATGTACATTTCTTTTAAGCAATCCTGAGACAGAGTCTATTTAGAGATCAGGGACTAATAATTAGAGTAAGTGGAGAAGAGGGTAGCTGGAAGCAATCCATGGATTTTTATGTGGTGCTGCCAACTTCCTCCTCAAAGCTGCTGCTTTTTCAGTTTAGTAGCTGAGTCAGATATTTGTTTAGATTTGTTTTGCACTCCACAGTCTGACTCTAAAACCTGCTTCATCAGTTCTGATGAAGATCACCTCACAGTGTAAAGTAGAGGTTAGGGCACTCATGATATCTCTGTCTGTCTTTGCTGCAGGTGTAATAGCAAAAAGAAGCATGACCAACCAGATATAGACAGAGCCAGCAAGGCTGTTCAGTGGTGGCACTTCTGTAGCATGCTCTTTAATGGCTATGCTTTTGCTCCTTGAGGGACATTTCAGCCCTGGTAAGTCAGCATACAAAGCAGACCTTGTAGATGATATAAGCTAGTTGAAAGGAAAAGTTTTAGTGCTTAGATGGTCAAGGAAGAAATGCACTCTGTGGTCTCTCCTTGGCTTGGAAATCTGTTGCCTTGAGATAGTGTTTTTTTTTTTTTTTTTTTTTTTTTTTTTTCTTCATTTTCTCCTAAAATATCTGAGATTTGCCTTGTGTGAGTGTACTACACCCGCAAGGTGAACCACTGGCCTGTGTGACCCTGCTTGGGTCACATGTGAAAGACCCAACTCTCAATTTTACAGCCCAAAAACATTTTTTAGTTAGATTTTTCCCAATTTTCTATTGCACAAAGTGTGGATCACGTGCCAAGATGACCTGGCCACATCAATATAACCTTTCTCTTTCATTGCAGAGCCACTGGACACAGGTGGCAGGTGGTCTCTTGTTTCTTGCTACAGCACACAACAGCTTAATCTGCTTCAAAATAAAATGCCTAAGAACTGTTATTGGGATGAATATATGTAATTTGATAATTCACATTAAAGAAGAAGCCAGGTAATGCTCATGGTTTCCTTCTTGTCTTGAAATCTAGACACTCAGGCAGTTTGTTGTTTCTGTTCACAGCCATCCTCTGCTGAGATGTGTCTGAGTCTTCCTTATGTCAACAGCCAAAGTTTCCATCCCTTCTAAAAACTCACAGTCCTTGCTTTCAGTTTGACAAACTTATTATTTATTTATTTAGTTAGTTAATATTTCCTCAGACTAATATTCTACATCAAATCACAAATCTAACATGGACAACAGATTCTAATAATGTTGGTGCTGGTTCTTACATTGTCCTGGCTGGAGAAAGATTGGATCAAACTTTTGATGCACTTGTTTTCTTTAGGAAGAAATAGTTTCGTATCTCAATGTATATTCCTGTTGTATTTCTGTTTTCTCATTAAGATCTCTGTTCACACATCAATGCAATATTTTCAAAAAATATGTCTGTAATGGACAGAAAGTACAAGGCAAATGGGAAAGGTGGTGAGGATCCTTATATCCTTTTTTTTTGTGATGGGAAAAGATAGAAACCCTTCATCCCAAAACTCAGTTGCCCAGAACTTTGGGGAAAACAGATTATTACTGAAACAAGACAAAGCTAGAGGTGTAAAAACTATTTTTAATATTTATTTATTTATTTTAAGGTAATGAGTGTGTTAGAAGGAATTGCAGAACCATTGGAAGCATGTCATTTGCTTTGATTAACTCTGTTAACAACTGGAAGAATTTTCTTCCAGTTTTTTAGAAGTGCTGTTCTTGATAGTATTACCCAAACTTGTCAGTTTTTGTTGTTGTTGTTGTTTTAAACAAACAAACACAAACTTTTACCCAAATAGAAAAACTATTTTGTAAATAGCATTTAGTAAGGGAAAGTGTGCTTTCTGTTGTACTTGCCTTTCCATTTTAATTACATTGCCATTCTAGGCACAGTGAGAGCTGGTAGAAAATATAATGTTGGTGCAGTATGTACAAGTGGCATCAAATGTAACTTGCTTAGTGTTCAGTCAGCCAAACAACACAAATTAGTCACGCTCAAGTGTGTATGTTCTTGTTTATGAGGCAGTAACTTCATGGCTAGGGTTTGGTTCTGATGTTCTTGGAGTTTTTTCAGCATGTCT